TGTGTCTTTATACTGGCCTAATGGCTGTAATAAAATGATTGATTGATTTGATTGTGAAGATAAGAGGTTGAGATTCAAATATACACCATTATTTAAAAAAAATTTTTTTCCTCTGTTTCTAAAACACTTTTTCTAAAATACCAAGGTGTCTAACTGTTTCTAATTAAAAGCATTAAAAATTAAGTAACTGAAGGACAATTATAAAACATCTTCTTCCATGATTCTGCCCACAGAGTCAGGCCCTGTATAGCCATGAAGTATAGCCTGGCAGGATTCTAAGTCCATTGGTGGTGGGTGGGCTTCATAGTCCATTCTAACCCACAAAAACTTTATTTTAATGCATTCGTCAAGAGTGCAAGGACAACATTTTTATTTGGCAGGGGTTGAAGATTGGGGAAAGTTCCCTTACATTGGAATTATTTCTCATTACTATATATGTCAAACTAGACTTGACAATAAACATAAACATTTTCCCTTCCCCTTAACAGCAGCTGGAATGTGTTTTTGAATTTGGGAGATGCAAGTAGCTTTTATCTCTACATTCTTTGCTTACTCCCAAACTATCTGGAAGCTACCATTTGTTTTGGAGATATCATTGGTCCAGCACCCTGTGGAGCAAATAGCAGTTTTAGATTTGTTTGGCTAGAGAAATGGCAATGTTGGGAATATTAAACCACCTCTGTCATGCTGTGTTCCTCAGATGATTTGGCTCCCCGTGGCTACTATTTTAAAGGGGGTTAAACATGAGTAAGAAAATGTTATAGTTAACATTTGGGTTTAGCCTGACCCTAAGTGCCCTGAATTTAAGGATACAGGCCTGTCAACAAACATATTGTGTTTTTTGTACTTTGGTTTGTGCTTTGGTTTGTGCTCGCTGACTGTATAGGCTACCTAGCACCCCCCCCCCCCATACTATAAATGAGTATCTATGTCTGCTCTTTCAGAAACAGCTCAGAAACTCCCACTATTGGAACTGTGAGTTTATAGGAAACCATGAGACAAGACGGCAGGGCCTTTTTGTGCTGCTGCTGCTGCTGAGACTGTCAATGACCAATTCCCCATGAGGACATATTGTACAGGTCCTGCTATTTGCCTATGCAGCACTACAGACATGCAAAGATAAGCACTTTCCCTGCAATTCTATCCATTATATCAGAGCACCTGCAGGGTGCTGTCTAAGGTACTTATTTTGAATGTTAAAAACAAAAAGGACAGTTGGTCTTTTGAAAAGCTAGATAAAATGTTAATACAATGCAGAGAGACAATTCCCTTGAATTAAGACCCTTGAAGAGTCAAGAATTCTCATCCTTTTTACATCCTATTATCTCCTGTTGTAGAAAAAGTATCAGTTTCTGCCATAGTGCCAACTCACCAAGCAGCTTTAAATAGATCCTTCTTTTTTGGCTTGTGAGATGCATGTCCCCACCTTTTTCTTCCTCCTGCAATACCAGTTCCCAATAAAAGTTAAGCAAGGTTTGCTCCATAACAGTGATTAACAAGAACTCAGTTGCTGGATATTAATTTTTCATTAATATGTATGTTTTTTTAAATAGAATTTTTCATTAATATAGAGTTTCCAACCTGCTCACTTTTAGATGTTTGAATCTAGGCAGAAGGGGAATTGACCTTGTACAGTGTGCTGGATATGTTATTAGTTATTTTTTGTGGTGCTGCTGCATTTCGTGTGGTTTATATTTTTAATTAATTTTAATTTTTAATAGTTTAATCACTTTTTAACTTTTTTATTTTGTGAATTTTTAATTATATTTTTAATCTGTTGTAAACCAAGACAGTTTGAGTCCTGAACTAGGAAAAAGATGAAATATAAATAAATATAATAAGAATTAGAATAAGGATAGGCTGACTTAGGGGAGTTGCAGACTGCCAGAAATAGTGCAAATTGAGTCCACTTTTAGGGTTAGGGCTAGGGAATCATGGGAACTGTAGTTTATTGTGGCACCAGAGCTCTCTGACAGAGAAGGCTCAATGTCTCAGAAAAAAAAAACCAATTCCCATAATTCCCTAGCACTAACCCTAACCCTAAAAGTGGACTCAATTTGCACTATTTCTGGCAGTCAGCAACTCCCCTTAATGCATAAAGGATTTTTGTTTTCTGAAATAGACTCTGAAATCACAGATTGATACCTCCAGCCTGATAAGGAGCTTTCATGTTTCTGTGGATATAAGAGTTTTACATGCTACCCAAAGATCCAGAAAGTAATTTATTAAGTCATATATACAAATGTAATGTTTTATTTATTAGCATTTTATATTAAAATTAATATTTGTTAATGTGTTTATTACATTTTTCTCCCAACTTTAATCCAATGTATCTCTTCTTCCTGATTTACATCACAAGAAAACTATGAGGTATGTTAGGCTGAGAGACAGAGTCAGGACTGATAATCACCCAATAAGTCTCAAAGTTGAGTGGGAATTTGAACCTTGATCTCGTTAACTATCACCTAATCCCAACTACACTATGCTCTTTCTTGTTTTGATTAACAACACTCCTTTTGGGCACGGGATATGAACCACATAGAAGAGGATGATGATTTTGGTGTGATTGTTTTAGCCACATGTTAGCTATTTTGCCCCTCATTTTAGAAAGAGGGAAGGGGAAAATAGCTTGATTTGCTCCTAAGTGCAACCTGTCTGTTCCTTGTATAGGGTATGGTATGCCTTGGAATGCTACAATATTATAGTGGGCTTTCAAGCTGGAAAAAGGCTGGATTGCATAGTATGACTCAAGAAGCCAGTGTGGCATAGTGGTTTGAGTGTTGCACTACAACTCTAGACATCAGGATTTGATTCTCTGCTTGACCATTGAAACCTAATTGGTGACTTTGGGTGAGTGAAAACCTTGTGATAAATTCACCTTAAGGTCACACAACGCAACAGAACTAAAAAAAAAAAAATATCCATCTTGTTGCTG